ATTTAATTTAATTTCATTAATTTAATTTCATTAATTTAATTTCATTAATTTAATTTCATTTAATTTAATTTCATTTAATTTAATTTCATTAATTTAATTTCATTAATTTGAATTGACAATGCATTGAATTGTTTAAATAATACATAAAAATCATATCAAAGAATTGGAAGGAAAAAAGAGATATATTTTATAGTTTTCTTATTTAAAATAGATTTTTTTTTTCTTAAAAAATTTCTTTACCAAGATTCACTAACTCTGAAAGAGGAGTTGGTTATATTTTTTTTGATTGTTAGAATTTTTTTAAAGTGCAAATAAGGCCATACAAACTTAATGATTCGGTTTTCATAACCCGGCCGGATCAAAACTTACAAATTTTTTAAAAAAATTTTACAGCTGTTTTCATTAATTTTGGGACATCTAGTAAAAAATTGACCGAATGAATGATTGTTTGGCCGATTCGATAAGTTTTTGATTTCAGTAATGAACGATTGATATCTTTCTAATGACAGAGATAATGCAGTAATGTATATCGATATCACTATTTTTACGCTTCAGATTATACTAGATTCAGTTGTTATTACTTCAGCAAGTTGGATATTTCAGATTCAATAGCAATTGTTTCAGACAAACTAGGCATTTTTAAAATGTTTACCATAGACGAACAAGTTAATGGTTTCTTAGGTCAATGTTTCAATATTTTCATCTGATTTCATAATGATTTGCTTATTAATTTATATTACATAAATAAATGAAATACTTTATAGATTTTTACTATGAATTTGTTTATAATTTTCAATGCGGTTTCGACAAATATTAATAAAAATTTGGTTGTTTGAAATTATAACTTGAGTTATATTTTCTTTAGTCCGGTCAATAAATTCTTGTTCATATCGAACTTATTTTTTTATTAGCGTCTCCTTGTGTAATATTTTTATTATGAAAGCTTATCTTATATTCAGAACCCTTTTGTTTGTCAAATCTGCTATTTGACAAGAACAATCTTCGTCTTAATTTTCCTACAGACTAAAAACGCCAAACATACTGGACATATGTTCAAATCAATTTTGGATGTATTGACATTGTAGTATCGTTCAAGATACAATCGCAAAATGTATATTATATTACTAATCACGCCTAAATCAAAAGTTTATCAAAAACTTATCGAATCGACCAAATAATCATTCGGTCAATTTTTTACCAGATGTCCCAAAAATAATGAAAACAGCTGTAAGTATATTTATTATCCGGGTGAGTTTTATAAAAAAATCTATAAAAAATTTTATATGTTTTTTATATATAAAATTTTTTGAAAATAAAATAAAAGCCGGGTTGCCGGGTCACTCTTGAAAATTTTATGTTATGAAAACCGAATTATTAAGTTTGCATGACCTAATGAATTATTATTATTTTTACTTGAATGTTGCAGAAATCTGAAATGGTCGATTCTTATAACAGGGGATGTGAATATCTGCTCAAAGTACTTGTACTGTACCTAATGCTATAAAACAGATAAATAATTTTTCAACATACAAACAAAAAAATAGAATATTTCTATAGAAATTATAATTAATTAAAATGAAATTGAACGAGCAGGTTAATTTATTAATTTGATACTTCACTATATTTATTTTGGTGTTGGTATACTAAAAGTCTGTTGCAATTAGACTTTGCACATTCTGAAAACCGTGAGAGTCTCAAAGTTAAGGCATTGGTTACAAAAGAGGTTTCAAAAAAAGACTGGAGGTTGTGTGAATAGACGCATGCAAGCTTATAAAAATTTTTTTTGAATTATTAAAAGTAAACTCATTATATTGAAAGTATAGTAACTTTCCACATTAGTAAAATTAGCAAAATTTATAGTAATTGTAAATATTATCATTTTTTTTAATTTATTTCTGATTTGTATGCGAATTTTAAATATTTATTGAATTTAAATAGTTAGGCGTTGAGAAATATCAATTAAAAGCTAAAAAAAACAGTAAACTAAACTCTCAAAATGTTAAAAATACGTTATTATAACCTTGGGGCGGAAGTTGGGTTAATTCATATCTCATAATTGTATATAATATCTACAAATTATAGTGAACCAATATTCTGAAAGCTCAACTAGCATGAAAATACCTCTTTATTCCAGCAACATCAGTACCAAGTGAAAAACTATTTTCAATAAGACACACATAGAAATTACTGTATGTTCAACAATATGTTAGTGCTAAAGATCGAAAAGAAGGGGATAGTCAATCACTGGTGAGTCATTTTTGATGATAAACCTTCGAGCAACTTTTTATACGAAGACATCTACCCACAACTTCAGAAATGCTTAGACATGATGTTTAAAATTAAGGTCAATGATCAAGATATATTTTACTCGCTACCACAATGTAATGCCGAAGAAGCTAGTTACAGTATCAGAATGTTTTTTTCTTGTGTCTCTCAGCTTAATGAGACTTTCTATTCTAACCCCATCGGATATAATTTTTCGGATGATGATATTCTCGGTGTCATAAAATAGCTAAGAAAACATTAATATAATGATAGTTTTGACTGTCTCTTTGTATTAATAGATGTAATATAGTAGTAGTTAAATATTTATATACATGCTAATTAGAAACATTTATTATATCAGTTATTGTTTGTCTGCATCGGGCACTCTTTAATTTGTATATGCGCGTATGTGCATCAAGAAAAGTTACATGATTTATATTTCCAGTCTTCCTGAGCGACCACCAAAAACTCGGTGCACGTGGTTTGAGCCATTAGCTGTGACTAAGGATGCTGATGAAATAAAATTAGAGTCAGTGAAATAATTTCACCATTATTGGTGAAATTGGTGAAATTAATTTCACTAACCTAGCTATGACATGTATTAGTATCACTTTTACGCCGATCAAATTCAAGTATTAAAACAGATCCTAATGAGATTATGTGTAAAATTAAATACATAGGAATTAGGATTAAAACCAATTCAGTACTTATTAGTAAAATTTTGTACAAAAAATGCATAGTAAAAATTTGGAAAACTCCAGGGCGACTACGTACCAAAAACCCGAGCTTGTGCCACAGCATCTAACTGTTTAAAAAAGAAAGCTGCGTAAACTACTGGTGGATGCACGTATATTAGTAAATGCCCAATGTGCGAGTTTAACAGGGTGGCCCCTCAAAGTTTGACGTCACTACCGCAGCATGTAGTAGTCACTTTCAACGATGTCAGATAATTAAAACCTCTTATTGGTTTAACATTATACAGTTATAGAAAATTATATGCTTGGTAAACAACTCTAAATCCCTGTATACGTACTTGTTCGTTCGTATTAAAAATATACATGCTGCGGCAGTCACGTAAATGATCAATCCGAACTTCGAGAGGGGGTGAACTCGCCAATATACATTAGAATAGTACTGTAGTCACAACAACTAAAATACTATTCTAAACCTAATAATATTGGAAGGCTTCGAGAAGTGAAAAGGCTTAGTTCGAGTAATTAGCAATTAGAGCTCTCAATTGCGTTGTTTTTAATAAAAAATCAAAGGATTAAATTACTAATTTTTTGTGCAAAAAATTTTACTTACTGGGAGGAAGGGAATTATCAGAATAAAACAACAATCTAATGAAGCCGTTATTTTCGAATTCTTTGCCTATTTTGTTTGCTTTATTTTGAAAATAAATAAATCATAAATAAATTACAGATTTTCACTTTGCAACACAATTGATTTTTTTACACAAATTACTGTAGTAGTATATTACAAATATTTTTATTATCAGTTAAATCTATTACATTCATTAATCTATCCACTAATCGCTATATTTCAGTACGTATAAATATCAGATCTGTCATATTGACTATATTTGGGGCCGGGTTCGTTTACATAATGATCTACAAATTGCATAAATTGCGTTTTTGATTTCTTATAAGCAATTAACCCTAACTGCATCAAAAAAACTAACCCTAAACGAACCTGGCTTTAACGTTCTCCAAGTTAGATTCATCCGAGTCACCTCGGAGACGATCTGGAATCAATAGAAGACAGGAAAGCATCTAAAAGAAGATAACTATGATATTATATAAATGTTTGAATTCAATAATTTTGTAATTTGATTGGTCTTTCTTCTTCTTGATCATGTAACATAGAATGCCCATGTGGCATGTTCAAATCTTCATGCCAACTATAGTCAACGGTGGGGGAAATAATTTTTGGCGGCAATAAAGAAAAAACTAGCTAGATTTAGATATTAAATTAAAATATAATGAATTCTTTTTTATTAATAGACTATACGTATATAATTTATTTTTGTCATTTTTAACCCAAATATAGAATCATCATTCTCACCTGTACGTGTAATAACGATAACGAAATCTGATTGTATTTTTTGAATAAACTTTTAACATTAACTTTTTTAATATCGCCTTTTATATATGTAATTCTTTTGATTCGTTCAGAAAGTTTTCCAAATGGGTTAAAAAAAAATAAAGTTACTAAAGATCGCCGTCGAAGATTGCTCTAATAAGTAATTCATTTAAAACATGAAGCATTTTATAGCTTTAACGCACACACCGTTTTCCGATAAAAAAAAAACTTTATGTATTAGAACTTATAAAGAAGTCGGCGTGCATTAAAGCAACCAACTGAGATCTTTCAATCTTCAACTATGGAAACATTTTATGTATTAAAATTACACCACATGCTCATTGGATTCGATCCAACCTGCTTTTTTGGCGGCTTTTTTGAATATTTATTTTCATTAAATTACCTTTTCGCTTCATTCTATCTCATCTATTAGGTGAGTTCGATAGTAAAAATAAATAGAAAATAAATTCAAATTAATGAAAAAAAAAAATGCAATAACATTTACCATCAGAAACTTTATGAAAGCGCTAAATCTTTTTTTTTTTTTCGTCTTTTGAACACATTTATATTATAAAGTTCATTATTTTTTTCAAAATTTCCTTCGTAATTTATATAAAATATTAATCACAAATTTACATGACATTTCTAAAAAAATGTTATTTGAATCTACAAAAACATCATCACGACCTTCTTCGAACATCTCTTTAAATCAATCGTCTCGAGCGATTCGTCGTCAAAAACAAATAAGATCACATCGTCATAATTTACTAAATCAAACACTTGATAATTTTTATAATATTTTACGTCGCACTAAAGCTGATCAAACTGTTAAATCTGCTACAAGTTGGGTTAATGAATATGAAACTTTTAGAAAATCAGTTATACTTGAAGAAATTAGTAGCATTAATTTTGGTACAATGAATTTTAATGATACGTTAGTTGTAAATAATCGTGAAGATTCAATGACCGGAATTGAACCTGTAGAATTTTTTCTTTGATATTATGTTTTTTTATGGTATATAGTAGAGAGGGAGTGTTTAAAAATATAGTTTTAGGTAGAGAACTCTTTATAAATGAACACTTGTTGTACCTTAATTTTTTTTCTTATCATATTCTGATTAAATTTGTTACACTGTTGTATCAGCATAGCGGGCTTTTATTTTAATTGGTTAATTTTGTAGATAACTATCTGCTACGTGTGATTTTTGAACATTTTGATTGGCTAATAAAATTTTACTAAAATTAAAAAAATTTTACTATAATTTCAGTAAAATGTTTTTCATCTAAATTCCGGTTTACCTTGCCAATCACCATTTTATTTTACAGTATATAAAACGAAAGGTATATTTTAGAAATTTATTGGTTGCGACTTTGAAACATTATGCTATGTCAGTATGTAGAACATATTACTGTACCAGATACGTGTAACATTTCACAAATCATCCAATTACAATAAACCCGCTGTGCTAAAATAAATTCCGGATAGCTCAGTTTATAGTACTTCGGTCTTATTCGAAGAATACGGTGTGAAGGATACTATACAAAAAGCTACTTTCAAAATATTGGCATTCATATAATTACAATAAGTTTTAAATTCTGACGCACTAAGTGAATCCGTGCTCATATGTTTTTTCATGTGCAATGCATGACGCGGGAAATTAATTTTTGAATTATTAAGGGCTCCTAGAATCTGAAGCAAATGATTTGATTGGACACTTTAATAAGCGGTTTGATTGAAAAAACTAGCTTGAAAATTAATTCCAACTTTAAACCTAGTTTTCTGAAGGTAGTTTTTTTTCAAAATTTTTACTTTGAATCCCTGGTGCAATGTTAGCTCTAATGTAATTGCAATACACACATACACATAAATAATTATTATACATGAATCCTAAATCGCGACATTTTTTTACAGAAACATTTTCACCGAAGTCAAACCTTCAATTAATTTTTTTATTTTACATATGTAGATTCAGGATCAATTTAAGTTGATTCTAAATCTATTTGGATTCCAGTATGACTTGAGTATAATATTGTATATGCTTTTTATTATGTTAAATACAGTACTTTAATTGCATAGCGCAAAAATTAAGAAAATTGTTATTTATACTAGCTCTTTAACCCTCGTGATACTTCGGGAAAAATGAATTTATTAAAAATTATAGTAGTATATAATAATGATAGG